TTCTATGGTGATCCTTTCCACCAACAATTTCATACATAAACTACTACCAAATTATATTTGTCCCTGAGCTAATCCATGAAGAAAATAGAAAGCAATTCCTGGCAGAAGGGCCCGCATTGCACAACCCTGGTGCACACTGGCCTCCCCTGGGCAGTTTCAAGAAGTGCTCACGCCTGCCTCCGACTCCAGTTCGTCCTCTCAGCCGATTTCTGCAGCGCCCAGACAGAGATGTCTTCCAGGCCCTTCTCATATGCAGGCAGGACTGGAAGACAAAAACCTAGACCTGCACTGTCCGGCACATTAGCTATTTATATTTACATTAAATAAAAGGTAAGGTTCCATTCCTCAGTTGCACAAGCCAACACAGTTCCATCATCTCAGAAAGTTCTGCTGGCTGCCCTGGTCGGAGTCGAGATGAGGGGGTCTCAGCCCAGGCTGCACATGAAAATACCCAACGCCTGGGAGTTTGTCATGGTGGCAGCCTCGCCCCCAACCAATGAGATCTGGATCCTGGATGGGAGCAGACAGTGTCTGTAAGAGCTGCCCAGGATGCTATGGATGGTGTGGCTGGATTAGGAACCTGTGAGCCAACTATCCCGGGGTTCAAAACAGCTGGTCGGAGGTCAGGGTTCCCTCCCCTCCAACGTCCCTCTGACACACCCCGAATAAACAGGAAGTTCGTTGTTCAGTGCGGCCTGGGATGGGAGTCCAGGACCTCCAGCTGGATTTACAATGAGTGGAGTTTCCTTTTTTGTGCATTTCCAACCAGATGTTATCAACACAAAGTGTATTCACCCCTGTGGTTGGCTCTGGGGTCCCTGGGGCTGAGGGTGGGTGGGGTGCTGAGAAGCCAGGAGGCAGTTACCAGCCTGAGATTTCCTCCCGTCCCCCTGCCAGGACTTTCCAAGACCCTACTCCAGGCCAGTGGACCGGCCTAGTACAGCGAGGTCACCCCAAACTGACAGCGGCCAGGGAAACACAGTGTCAAGTGCCCCAAAAGCCCTGGAGAAAGAGAGAAGAGAGGTGGGGAGACTCAGTGGAGAGAAAGGGGGGTAAGGAAAGGGGGGTGAGGAAGGACAGAATAAGCAACTCGAAAGACTTTGAGACTAAAGAATAAGCAAGGCACAGATGGAGGCTGAGGCGGGAGGTCAGGGAGAGCAAGAGGAGGCCGGACAGAGGGAGACCGGGGCGTGAGCAGTGGTGGAGGGCTGTGGCCTAGTACACCAGTCATGAGCTCACAGGACACACACCCAAAACCCCAGAAATGAAGGGGGCTGCTGCACGGCCACCCCGTGGGACTTCACAGAAGCCCTGAGGACCATCAGGTGACCTCGGTCACTGCCATGCCTGTTACTTCCCTGTTGGCTGCCTGATGGGTCGGTGATGGCTGGGGCCAGTGAGGAGGTGTGCTATTTAAAATGCTCATTCAGCCGAAACCGGTTTAGCTCAGTGGATAGAGCGTCAGCCTGCAGACTGAAAGGTCCCAGGTTTGATTCCGGTCAAGGGCATATACCTTGGTTGCGGGCACATCCCCAGTAGGGGGTGTGCAAGAGGCAGCTGATCGATGTTTCTCTATCATCGATGTTTCTAACTCTCTATCCCTCTCTCTTCCTCTCTGTAAAAAATCAATAAAATATATTTTTTTAAAAATACAATAAAATAAAATGCTCATTCAACTCAGCTCACTAAATTGTTCCCATTTTCTCTTTCAAAATGAAAAATGTCACAGGGTTACTCTTGTCACTTCCTGGTAGGTTTCTTACTTTCATGGCTTTAGAATTTTTCATCTCAAATTCTTTTCTCAGATTTCATGTGTAAACTGGACACGCACCCTCATGCATCCAACATCCAAGCAAACTGCTATCCAAGCTGGGGCACCTATTGGCTCCTACACTGAAACCAGAGTTCTCATTCCCACAGGTGGCAGTGCTGTTTGGGCAACCTCTGAAATGCTTCAGATATTCATGAATCTAAGTTTACATTTGAATTTGATTTAACTCATAGTTAAATTTTTAAATTTTTACTTATTGATTTGAGAGAGAGAGAATGAGAGAAACACCAATTTGTTCACTTACTTATGCATTCATTGATTGCTTCTTGTATGTGCTCTGACCAGAGATCAAACCCACAACCTTGGTGTATCAAGGACGACGCTCTACGTCGGCCTGCAGACTGAAAGGTCCCGGGTTCGATTCCGGTCAAAGGCACATACCTTGGTTGCTGGCACATCCCCAGTGGGAGGTGTGCAAGAGGCAGCTGGTTGATATATCTCTCATCGACGTTTCTAACTCTCTATCCCTCTCAATTCCTCTCTGTGTAAAATCAATAAAATATATTAAAAAAAAAAAAAAAAAAAAAGGACGACGCTCTAATCCAGTGGTCGGCAAACCACAGCTCAGGAGCCACATGCAGCTCTTTGGCCCTTTGGGTGTGGCTCTCCCACAAAATACCACATGCAGGCGAGCACGTACAGTGAGAATGAAACTTCGTGGCCCATGTGCAGAAGTCGGTTTTCGGCCTGGGTGAGTCTATTTTGAAGAAGTGGCGTTAGAACACTCAAGGGGCATGTGGCTCGCCAGCCTCGGTTTGCCGACCACTGCTCTAACCAACTGACCAATGTTTAATTTTTAATTGCTGGAAATGCAAAACGGAGATAAATGTCAGGAAAACTCAAAAATTCTATTCCAATGGTTATTGGAAAGTAGTTTCTGGTAAGTTGGGAACTTATGTGAATTGCTCTTCTGTAAACCGATATTTGAGGAACTGGTTTCTAGCACCCTGGCCCTGTAGTGAACTAGTCACGTGGGAACTGGTTTTCTGGGAGCCAACTTCCCTTCAGGAGCTGGAGGACGCCCACAGGGGCCAATGAGAGGGCCTTGAGGAGCAGTGCAGCCTGGCCCCTGCTGTGACCTCTGACCCACGGCCAGGACAGGCCATGTGTGGCGCTGGCCTGGTGTCACCCTGAAGGCCAGCCTGGCCTCTGAATTGATCAAACGTATGTTTATGGTCCCTGTTCTCATGCTGCCTTTAAGGTCCTAGAACTCTCCCCGCAGGGTCTGCAAAATGCTGCATCTGAGCTTGAAAATGAAACACGTGTTTCCTCTGCGTGCCTCTCAGTAACCCGGCTGCCCTGCCTTTGCCTCGCTAAGCTCTCTCCCTCCACTCCAGCATCTCCAAGCAACTGAACTCTCCAGAAGGTCCCAGCCCCTCCTAAGGCTTCCAGGAGGCTCTGCAAGGTGGAATGACCACAAGCAAGTTGCAGGTGGCCCTCCAACCACAGCTCTGCTGTCACTAGCCGTGGAGAAAATTACCCATCCTCTCAGAGCCTCAGTTTCTCCACCTGTAATGATGACAATTGTAATAGTAGCATGTAACTGATTTTAAAAGATCTTGTACATAAAGACTCAGGCCAGGGCCAGACCCTTGGCTAATCTCTCAGAAAACATCAGCTGGGCCACTGCTGTCTTCTCAGTTGGCTTACTTGTCATGTGACTTAGTCCCACCTATAAGGTCTTACCTGGCTGCCTCCATACCCAGGCACCAGATGCCCTCCCTTCCTCACCTCTCTAAAGGCTACCCCAGCCTCTAAGTCAGGCTGAGTGGGCCCCGCCCCCTCCAGGAAGCCCTCCAGGACTACCCAGTGCTCAGAATCACCCCCTTCCTGGCCTGTAGGCCCACCATTTGTTCTTGTTGGAGGCGCTGTGTTTCTACACAATGTTTGCCTGTGTGCGCTGACTCTAGCCCCTGCCCCCTGTGCAGGTTGGGACTGCTGAGGTCCTGGCCCCCACTCCTCACAGCCCCACCTTGGGAAGGCCCAGCGGAAGGGACCCCACACAGACCCCAGGCCCTGCACCCATGGCCAGCAGAACCACAGAGAAACAGTAGTAGTTGGGTTTCTCTTGCAAGGCTTTTAAGTTTTCAAACTTCCTGGGTGTTTTGCAGCCTGAGAGCCTTGCCAGACCTTCCCCAGGTCTCTGAATCCTCCCTTCTTCCCTCTCTCTCCTCCCTCCTCTCACCTCCTAACTCCCCCCCACCCCCCAACCCCCACCCCACCTCCACAAGATAACACAGCCAGGCCTCCCAGGACTCTGACACCACTGACCCAGTTCCCACACAAAGGCTCCCCTGTGAGCAGATCACAACACAGCAAGGCCACCATGCCTGATCCTTGCGCCCAGACCTCAGTAAATGGCGCCCAGAGCATGAATCCACCTCCGCTGGCACCTACCACAGCCGCACCTGCACCCCACCTTGCCCAGCAGACACTGCTGAGCCCCTCACAGTCACAGCTGTGCAGCCTTGCAAGCTGCATCTGTCTCCAGGCCACGCCACCCACCATCAACAGGACCCTCTGCATGCCCATCAGTCTGCCCACTCCCCACCCCTATACACATACAAAGCACATACAAGGCCCAGGAGCTCAATGACAAGAGAAGGGATCACCACAATTTTGCATCTGCTATTCCCCTTGTCTGGCAACCCTCCCCTGCTACCTAAGTGAAATACCCACAGAAAACAGCACCAGAGAGGGGTGCAGTCAGTGGGAACCGGCCTCCGAACCACAAATCTCACCTCCAGGTCCACCTCTTCCATGAAGCCTCCCTGAGAGCTCCCTGCTGGTGGCGTGCCTGCCTCCGCAGTGTGGCAGTGTGCGCTGCCCTCTCCGGACTGGGCAGGCCGAGGAGAGAGAACCACGCCCAGGCATCCCTGGGCTGGAGCAGGACACAGAGCGCCTTCTCCTCCCCACTCCCTGGTCCACAGGCTGTCTGTGCCAACACGTGCACACCTGACTCCAGCCCATCGCCTTCCCTGCGGCCTGGGCAGCTCTCAGATTCACCCAGGGCTGCGTCTCTGCGGCTGCAGCCAGGCAGCCAGGAGAGGCAGGTGTTCGGTAAATGCTGAGTCAAAACACCAGCTCTCCGGGCCCAGATTCTGGAATAGATGTCCACCACGAGCCTACCTGTACCTGCAGGCCGCAGAGACCCCCTGGCCCGCCTCACCTGTTCCTCCCCATCGTCTCATGGTCCTTGACCACCACGTGAAGCTCAGAGCTCTGGTCCAGGGGAATGCCCTTGAGATCCCACTCAAAGCCCTGGGAGGAAAGGAGAAAAGACATCTCGCTTAACCCGTGGCCCCGAGGAGAAGAGATTGTCTCGTTCACTCTGGTCCCCGAGGACACTGAGCAGGCATGATGCTGGTGGATGGGATGGGTAATGAGTCAGTGAATGAATGAATGAATGAATGAATACAGGAATGGCAGGGTCCCAAAGATTCAGGGTAACAGTGAGAGCTGAAGGCAACAGAAGGAAGGAGGCCAGACTCCCATAACCCCTCCCCAATTCACTCCCACCGATCACCAGGCCTCGGAGCGCCGCTGGGGGAAATGCCCGGGGTCCTGCGTGTCCTCAGGGGCCAAGACCAATGTGCTCAGCCAGAAGCCAGGCCCCTCCCTGCTGGGCAGCAGGAGTCAGTGCCTCGTTGGGGAGGCCCAGCCAGAGGCCCCGGGACCTTCCTCAGAGCAAAGGCTTCCCCGTGCAGCCCAGCCCCGTTGACAGAAGGCATCAGGGCTTCCCAAGGACCACCAGGGAGGCCCATGAAGGGAGCTGGTTAAGGGCAAGAGGCAGGCAGGAGCCAGAGGCGGACCTGGTGCACCTGGGAGAATGGCCTGCGTAAGGCCGACAAGACAGGCAAGAGAGCCTCTCACCACCCTCTGCCTGGCTGGCAGAGCCGGAGGGAACAGAGATAGACACTGACTCCTCCCCAGGCCACAGCCACCTCTGTTTGCCTGGCACACCACCCGTCCTCCCAGGTTCCCAGCGCCAGGAGGATTTAGTTGGCACACGGGACCAGCATGCCTTCCCTCCTTGAAAATGCCACTGAGAAAGCCCCTTCTCTCAGCAGAGAGAAGAGGGAGGGTGAAGAAACCACATACCTCATTCCACACAGGGTTCACGTTGTTCTTGATGACTTTGGTTCTCTTCTTCACCCCTGCGAGAGACACAGAGAGGGAGTGAGAGACCGTCCCCGCCCTGCTCCTCCCCTCGAGAGGGGCAGCCTCTCAGACACTCCCTGCAGCTCATCTGCCAAGGAAACCTAACAAACCAGCAGCTGCCCTAGAACCCCACCCGTCCGCCTGGCTGCCCAGCGCCGATCACCGACTTCTCTCAGCTCTGGGATGGAGAAGCAGCAGCCCAGCAGAAGGCTGTTTTTTAAAGGAAAATACCCAGGCTGACTCTTCTCAATGATTTGAAATTGTTATTCCTGACTTTCTAAATAACATTTTTCAATCGCTCATTTTCTGACTCTAAGAATGAATGATCTTCGTTGAAAAGATTCCATTTTTCTTTTTCAAGCCATCCTCCTCCACATAGTATATGATTCCATTTACATGCATGTCCAGAATAAGCAATCCACAGAGAAGTACTTTCCAGGGGCTAGGGGGAGATGAGGTTGGGGAGTGAAGGCTTAACAGAGGAGGTTTCTTTTCGGGGTGATGAAATGGTCTGAGTTAGACAGTGATGATGATTGCACAGCAGTGTGAATATACTAAAAACTATTTCAAATATACACTTTAGTTAAATTGGTGAATTTTAGAGCATGTGAATTTTATCTCAATTTTTATTTTTTTTAATGTATTTTTATTGATTTCAGAGAGGAAGGGAGAGGAAGAGAGAGAGAGAAACATCAATGATAAGAGAGAATCATGGATCAGCTGCCTCCTGCACGCCCCACACTGGAGACTGAGCCACCAACCGGGGCAAATGCTCTGACCGGGAATCGAACCGTGACCTTCTGGTTCATAGGTCAGTGCTCAACCACTGAGCCATGCCAGCCGGGCTATCTCAGATTTTAAAGGATCCAGCTTACCCTGGCCTTGAAGGGGTCTGTCTGAGCGGGCTATCCCAAGGCAGGTTTATGTGTTCACGAGGGCCTACGCAGAATGGTCGGGGTAGACAGACAACAAGAACTGACACTGCGGTGGTGATCAGACCCATAGCGCCCCAATGACAGCAGAGCATTCCTCTGGAGCCCTGGGACGAGGGCGTGGATGAGAAGCCGCTAAGCATGTCCCACTCTTCCATTAAGCACCCCAACAGCAACAGTTGTGTTCGAATGGGTGACTAAATATGTTCAGCCAGACACAGAATGCACACGTGGGCTGGATCATGAAGATCACACCGTTCAACCCCACCTGTGTGAGGCTCCCCAGGAGAAGCCCTTGGTCTCCGCCTGCACTGCTCAGCTTTCAGAGTCTGGACCATGATAGCCCCTCAAGCCTGGGAAACTTCTCCCAGGAGCCCCGGGCCTCCTTGGAAGCAAAGCTGTGTCAGCGCATATCTAGTTTCCATGAAGCGCAGCCTCCTGAGGGGTCAGCCCCATCTGGGATGTTTCAGAGCAGAAAAGAGAAGGAAGCAGAGAGGGGTCAAGGACACGAGCAAGGTTTTGGGGGAGGATCTGGAGGAGAGCAACAACAGAGGAAGAGCGAGGAAAGGAAAATCGTGGTGAAAGAAACGTCTGAGGGAGAGAGGCAGAGCAGGGCCTGGCAGATTCTAAGGCAGTTCTGTTGAAAATGGTTGCTCAGCCGAAACCGGTTTGGCTCAGTGGTAGAACGTTGGTCTGCGGACTGGAAGGTCCCGGGTTCGATTCCGGTCAAGGGCATGTACCTTGGTTGCGGGCACATCCCTGATAGGGGGTGTGCAAGAGGCAGCTGGTCGATGTTTCTCTCTCATCGACGTTTCTAGCTCTCTATCCCTCTTTCCTCCTCTCTGTAAAAAAATCAATAAAATATATTTTAAAGAGAGAAAGGAAATGGTTGCTCAGCCGAAACCAGTTTGGCTCAGTGGATAGAGCGTCAGCCTGCAGACTCAAGGATCCCAGGTTCAATTCCAGTCAATGGCATGTACATTGGTTGCGGGCACATCCCCAGTGGGGAGTGTGCAGGAGGCAGCTGATTGATGTTTCTCTTTCATCGATGTTTCTAGCTCTCTATCCCTCTCCCTTCCCCTCCGTAAAAAATCAATAATATATATATATATATATATATATATATATATATATATATATATATATATATATTATTTTTTTTTTTAAAGGTTGCTTAGCTTTGGCAAGTCTCCTTGGAGATTCTGACTAACATCCCCCAATGGGGGAGCGAGAGTTCCCAACCCCCTCTCACCCCCTGTAGCAAACCAGGAATGTAGGAAAAGAACCTGAACTTTGGAATGGCACAGATCACCATAGAACACTATTTTTTTGAGGCTGGGGAGCAGGGGGGGAGAGGGGGCTTGGAAGGTCGGGGAGGGGAGGGGAGGAGAGATATTAGGGCAATGGTTCTCAAACATTCTGGTCACAGAACGTCACTCTTAAAAATTATCGAGGACCTGCCAAAACCAGTTTGGCTCAGTGGATAGAGCATCAGTCTGCGGACTGAACGGTCCCAGGTTCGATTCTGGTCAAGGGCAGGTACATTGGTTGTGGGCACACCCCCAGTGGGGGTTGTGCAGGAGGCAGCTGGTCGACGTTTCTCTCGCATCGATGTTTCTAGCTCTCTATCCCGCTCCCTTCCTCTCTGTAAAAGGTCAATAAAATATAATTTTAAAAAATTATTGAGGACCTTCCGTCGCTATCACTGTAGGTGTTAACACAGTGTAAAGGTAAATAGCATCTTAGTGATTCTTTGAGGACAGTTTTGACCTTGCTGACCTGCTCAAAGAGTCCTGGACACTTGACAGGGGTCCATGCACAACACTGAAAAACCTCTTAGGGACCTTATTAAACACTTTAGCCTCTGTTTCTTCATCTGTAAGATCACAATAATGCCTCCCCGTGGGGTTGTTGTGAAAATTAGACAAGATAGGATGCGTGAGGCGCCCAACATATAGCATACTCATTAAACGTAAGTTTGCCACCCCTCCCCTTCCCTCTGTGCCCCACCCGGAAGCATTTAGTGAACTCTTACTGATTCCTCAATACCCAGCTCATTTTCTCCTCTGAGAAGCCTCCCTTACAGTTGTACGCTGTGACCACAGGTAGCAGACAGCAGGATAACTGTGCTTCTATGGCTGTCCTCCCACCCGGACCATGAACTTCAGAGGGCATACACCATGCCTTATCATGCTAGTAACCCTATATATAGCGAGGTCCCCAGTAATTGGGCGCTGAATGAATAGGTCGTTTTCCAAGTTGGCTGCATATTCACTTCCTCACTGGAGGATGGAATCACTGTTCTCAGAGAACACCATAAGACTGCATTAACAATATGGCTGTGCATCAACGAATGGAGGGGATGAGAGGAAGCACAGGGGAGGGACGTCCTGGGAGGGACCCAGTTTTCTTATCAAAATGGCCCACGTCTGCCCTGATGGAACCACCCTAAATCTCCTTGTGGGCTCTGGTGGTATGGCTCTAGCTGGCATCAGACACATGGCTTTGGAGTCATTCAAAGAACTCCTGTGTGACCTTGGGGAGGGCTTATAACATTTCTAGGCCTTAGTTCTCTCAGCGATAAGTTAATCATGGTGAGTGTCTACTGTATGGGGTTTGAAAGGATATAAGATGCTATCTAAGCATCCGTGTCCCCTCCTCTATCAATTCCTGAGATCTACAGGAGTGACATGGAAAATTCCATCTGCAGCCTCTCTGGAGTCATGCAGTTGGAAGCACTTCCTGGTGCTCCTGACTACTATTAATTAAGGGGCGTCTGTGTGCCAAGCCCTGTGCAAAATGGCTTTCAAATAGTTTCCATTTCCTGCCTCCCCTGAGGATGACGGGAACAACGGCCCTCAACTAGGTTTCACGAAGTCCTGGTTACAAGGGCCAACACTGGGCCCTCTGGATGGCACTGAGGGGTCACTGATGGGCACTAAAGCCCCAAAGAGGAGCAAGAAAGAAATGAAACAGTAACCCAACACAATCACATGCCTTACAGGCGCCAAGAAAGAGGAAGGTACGCTGCTAATTAGGAAACAGTTCCTTCCTCATCATGAATTTAGATTTGTCCTGTCCTTGCTAATCAACTCTGGCCTTAAGAGATGTGGTTTTGTGCACATATAATAGACTCAATAATTAAAGATACAGAAGAGCTCACAGCTGGGGTTAGGAAGTGGGGCTATGCCCCCTCCCGGGGTTGCTCAGCCGAATATTGGGGACCAGCAGGCATTCATGGGAATGGTGCTGAAGTCATGGGGTGATCCTCCAGACTGAAAAATCAGTGAAGAGGAATACACCTACTCTTCTGTTCCCCATGGCAATTCACTCGTTTCCTCAAGCCTGACCCACACAACTCAGCCCCACTGTCCTAGACCACAATGTCCCATGACTGCATGGTGGTGATTTTCAATCTATTCATTGGGACCCAGTGGAGGGCTGTGGGAAGCGGTTATAGGGTTTAAGTCTCAGACTGATCTGCTGGCAAAGTCACAAACAAGTCCCAGCTTGGAGGGCACAGTCCTCTCAGCATAATGAAGCTTGATCTTGTGACCGCTCCCTAGATCTTTCCTGGGTAGCTAGTGGGCAGTGCTGCCAAAACAAGTGAAACTCACAAGAACATTATAAATTGCCTTGTTTGCCTCTGATTATAAATAAAGCATCAGCTTTGCAGTCTGGGTCTCTTCTGTGGCCTTAGCCAGGCATAGAAGATCCACCTAGACCCAGCTTTTTGTCTCTGTCTATCTTTATTCTTCATCCTTCACTGTGATTCTGTGAGGACAGTTTTGACCTTGCTGACCTGCTCAAAGAGTCCTGGCTGTGCTGGCGAGGCTCAGAGGGCCATGACATCAATTAGTAAGTTGACCAATCTGTCTTTTTTAATGACAGAGCAGACTAGAGAAGAAAATCTCAGAGTATGTCTTTGGTCAGAAAAATACTATTACTTAAAACTTTTGATTATACTGATGATTCTCTCTCATCATTGATGTTTCTATCTCTCTCTCCCTCTCCCATCCTCTCTGAAGTCAATAAAAGTATATATGTTTTAAAACACTTTTGAT